GCCAAGGACTGTGATTTTTTTCCCTAAAGCTGCTTTCTGGCTGGATCATATCAAAGACACAAGACAATATTTTTTCCCTCTTGTCTGAAGATAGAAGGCTACAACTCTGGTGAAACAATGCATATGTCTCTCCAACAGACAGTTTGTCCTTTAAGGGGAAAAAAAATTAAAAAAAAAAGTCTCAAAGAATTCCCTAAAGAGAGATTAGATAATTTGGAGCAGATTTAGGGTGGGATTTTTAGGAGGAATTTGTATGATTGTTTTAAAGGCAAACTTTCTCCGCAGTCCTTTTCTAATAAGGACCTTGAAATATGCCAGAATCAAACTCCTCCAGACCCAAAACACTTAGGATGATGCTCAGAACTAGGTTTCTACTTCGACTAGTTCTCTTCCCTGCAAATGGAAACTTTCCCTGTGCTCTTTCCATTCAGAGTTGCAGGGAAGCCTCGGCAGCTCCTCAGCACCAGGAGACCAGCCTAATCAGGAGTCACTGATGTTGCAGGTAGCCCCATCTATCACATAGGGCARGACTCACTGTCAGCGAGCTGAGAACAGGCTTCACTTCGTTCACGTCCTAGCGAGTAGTTCTGAGGTCCTTCCTTAGAAAGAGGGTTTCTCCCCTTCTTCATACCACCTTCTTCATACCAGGGTGCATTAACTTGTACTGCCAGCACTACCTACTAGACACATTCCCTGAGAAAAACAGCGTGCCCAGTTCAGTATCTTCCATACGGAAGACACTAACCTTCTCTCTCCCAGAACACAGAGCAATAGATCCGCAGCACCTCGAGCAGGCTCTGCAATACTCAACCCCACGAGGCAGTGCCTGGCCTGCTCACACTGCAGTCTCCCTCCAGGGACCTGCAGCGAGCTCCTGCCTGCCTGCTTCTGCACAGAAGTCACACGTTTATGTCCTGCTCCACTGTAAACACAAGGTTATTTAAGGTACTCTACCTCCCAGAAAAAAAAAAAGAAACATATATCTATATATATATAAGCTGCATTCCAGTGCAGCACGCTAGCACACAGAAACATGATCACACAAATGTTCTTCAGAAAATGACTGGCAGGTATCAGCTAATCCCCCGGGGAAAGTAGGAGCCTCCTGACATGGGCTGCTCAGCAGAACCCACAACACCCAGCAACAGCTTTGGGATTCCTCCCATAAGCAAGGAACGAGGGCGTTCGCCCTCAGAATAAGCAGCTTGCTCCGTAATAACTCCTTCTCCTTTCCTTTCCTAAGGGGCTGCTCTTGGAGGCTCTAGAGAAGTAAGAGAGATCACAGTACGCAGCTCAGCTGGAGAAACACAGAGCCCCAGAAAGCTGCACGCCCTTTATCTGTTAGAAATGCAAAGCTGCTGTGCTGTATTACAGCAGCAGAAACTGCAATAAGCTACGGCCAAGTGAAGCTGAAGGGCAGCGTGACCAAGTGTCAGCGCAGTACTGCAAATTCCCTTCACATGGCTTCCTCTCAGCCCAGGCATGCACACCTATCTAAGACCGGGCCAAGTTACGTATTTTGAGGAAAAACAGAAGAAAATGCAGCTTTATCGAAGCGCAGGGGCAGTCCTCCAAAGGGAACAAGAAGCTGCTGCAGAACCACGAAGGCAGAGGGAGAGGGCTGCTTTTCTGAGGAGGGCATGGCCAGCAGTGCCTCAGCCAGCCACTTCACGCCACTGCCTCTGCCTTTTGCACCCAGCTGGCTTCTCTCCCTGCGAGGCTCCAGCACCGTCGGGAGGGGCAGGTCAGTTGCTTCCACTGTTCTTCCTAAAAGCTCAGACATACAGGGGGAGGGAAACAGGGACAGGGGGCAGAAAAGTTCCTTATTACGTGGAAAAATCAAAAGATATCAGAAAGAAAGCCCACATGCTT